ATTTGTTCCTTGGTATCGTTCTTACAATTTTATGTATTTTCTGCTTCGAGTCTTTTATGTAAACTGCCAAACGGGATTAAATTCTAATGGACATGGGGCCTACAAAAACTTCCCTATCCCTCTCCTCTCATCAGTGTAAACTTCCCTTGCAATGCACAGGACAGCGGGAGTCAATCTGGGATATTCACAGCTAGGCCACAAGAGCCACCACCAACCAGAAGAATCTCCCATTCCACAACCAAAGAAGTCTGAAGTAAGTTCATTAAGTCCTAATGGCTCTACCTCCAGCTATCCTCAAAAGAGACTCTCATCTCCCTTCTGACTAGAACCACCTTGTTTAGTCATTCAGACATTTTGAACCTGGAAATTATATCTGCTTCAAGCTTATCTCCCTGCTTCTAATCTTTATACTATGGCCAGAATGATCTATTTAAAATACAAATCCCTTTAGATTCCACCCAGCTTAAAATTTTTCCATACCTCCTTAATAGTCATAGCACACACTGTCCAAATTTCTTACCATAGTATCTAAGACTCTTTAACATTTTAAACCTCATCTTGTGCCATTCATTCACTCACCAAATATTTATTGACTACCCACTATGAGGAATGAACTATTGTAGACAAGTTTGTGTATGTAAATGAGTGAACCAAATAGACATGCACAAAAAATAAAGTCACAAAAGAAAAAAACAAACTTTGTTTTCATGGGAACTTAAATTGCAGGAAGGAAAACGTGGCAATAAATATAAGTAAATTACATAGTTTAGTAGGACGTGATGTGTGCTATGAAGAAAATACAAGTATAGAAAGAGGTAGGGTAGTCAAGGTAGGCCTCATGAAAAAGTGGCATTTTGAGAAGAGACGTGAAAGAGGTGAGGCGGCAAGCCATGCAGTTATCTGGAGAAAGGATGTTCCAGGCAGAAAAGAATGTCTGTGCAAAGGCTGCGGTGTGGATGTGTGCCTGGAGTGCTCATGGATTGTTAAGAGACAGGTGTGGTTGGAGCAGAATGAATGAAAGGGAGGGAAGAAAAAGATGAGGATGGCGAGAAGGTATAGACAGTGCTAGGATGATCACATAGGACCCTGTAGACCATTATAAGTAAGGACTTAGATTTTACTCTGAGTAATACAGAAAGCACTGCAAGTGACATTTGAACAGAGGAATGGCATGATCTGACTTAGATTTTAAAAGAACTTCCCTAGCTACTGTGCTGAGAAGAGACTACAGTGGGGCAAGGGTGGAAGCAGGAACTCTGGTAGGAGGCTACTGCAGCAATCCAGGTGAGAAAAAATGGCAGTTCATGGGGTGATCAGACTATGGATGTGTAATATTTTGAAGAGACAGTCAACAAGATTCTTCTGACACATTGGATGTGGGATGTGAGAGGAGTCAAGAACTAAGACTAAACCAAGGTTTAACTAAAAACCAATGTTTTTGGACTGAAAAAATGAGAGGACAGAGTAGGTATTAACTGAGACAAGAAAAATGCTTGTAGAGCAGGTTTTGCCAGAAAGATCTGGAGTTCAGTTTTTTACATATTTGAAATGTCTATCAGACATTCAACCCGGCTTTTGTACGTATGTTTGATGTTGAAGAAAGAGATCTGGGCTGGAGCTTCTGACATCCTCTCAAACAATTCCTCCATTTCAGGCTTACAGAACCACACACAGGTCCCTAAAGTCTTCCCCATGTCTTTGTGCATGTCTGTTTTTAATGTTCTTACCCAATCTCTTTCTCCACTTGGTCAAAAAAAGCTGTCTTCAAGACTTATGTCATCTATCATCTACTTCATGAAACTCACATGATCCTCCTGAACCACTTGTTTCTTTTTCTAAGTCACTTAAGTAAAGATTAAAATATAGTCATGCATGGCTTAACAATGGGGATATCTCATGAGAAATGCATTGTCAGGCAATTTCACTGTTGTGCAAGCATTATAGAGTGTACTTATACAAACCTAGACGGTATACCCCGCTACACATTCCTGTAATGAACACTGTAGACAACTGTAACACAATTTTAAGTATTTGTGTATCTAAATACAGAAAAAGAACAGAAAAAATACAGTACTGTAATCTTATGAGACTACCAAATGTCCTTACATAGTGCAGGACTATGTAACAGTTGATCTTTCAGCACACTTGAAAGGCTAAACAATTTTCACTTCTTTTTTGGTAGGAAACAAGCAGCCGTTTTATAAACACAGCAGGTGACCTGCCTGATCTCATCATCAGAAATCTTTAGAACCCTTTAAAAAAAAATTAGGGCCACAGAAAAAGATCTCGGTAAGCAGCTTGGTAACCAGATTTTGCATTTTTCAATTTCAGTAGTTATATGAAGAGATAAATTTTCAAAAAGACTTCAAAAATTTATTACTATACAATAAATTTTATAAGCTAAAAACAATGAAAGAAACACCTTCTGCCTGTTTTCCAAAGCTATTTTCTGTTATAAATATTTTTCATTTTGATTGTCATTCTTTTATTTGCCCCAAGGAGGCATATAAATTAGAGGAATTATTTGACAAGAGAACAAGTCTATGTCATTCTCAGGAGATAGAGTCCAATCTAATTGACAAAAGAGGGAAATTTTTAAAGATGATGCAAAATTTCGAGATGATCCAGCTCACCTGGCCTCTTACATAGATGAGAATGCTGATATCTAAGAGGCCACTACCACTGCTTCAGCAGTGTCTTCTCCACTACCGATTCAATGTACCTACAATCTGTGACAATGGAAGGTCCACGAAGGCAGAGATTTTTGTTTGCTTTGTTTCCTGCTATTTCTCTCACTCCTAAGAAAGCACTTGGCAGATAGTAAGTACTGAATGAATGAACAAAAAAGTA